TAAAATAAAATAAAATAAAATAAAATAAAATAAAATAAAATAAAATAAAATAAAATAAAATAAAATAGGAGGGAAGATGTTGAACAGAACAGCCGAATGTTCATTATAATAGTAGCTTTTGTTCCCCCTCCCACAAGATTAAAAGATCACAGTGGAAAGTAGTCATACCAATGTTAGGATCAGAATTACGGTTAGAACAAATTATCCATTGTGCATGACTTGAAGTAATTTTATTCATTTAAACCGGCTGGTTAGTTCCTTCTTTGATGGTCTGCCGACAGGTGGACAAGTTGGACAATAAAGTATGGTATGGGTCGCAGCACATTGAACTTTGTGTAATAGGAATGATCAGAATGACAAACTCCAAGTAAGCCTTCAGGCGATGACCGACCCATTTATTATAACCATTGCACTAACGAATTGAAACGGACAGGCCGGCAGAACTATATAGAAAACGATACTTGTCGATAGTCTATACCGTGACGATCGTCTGTTCGACGCAATTTTCGGACAACTTGAGAACAAGACATGACTATATGCCGGTGAATGATTATTTTTTTGATAGGATAAAGTTTCACCGCGTAACCCCCTCCAAGATCATAGCAGTAAAAGGAGTATAGGCACAGATCTAGAAGCAGTACCTACACACGAATTGGTGACGTCATAAAATACATGACCTTCAATCGGGGTCGTTTCCTCGGTATATACGAAATGGTATATACAAATTACAATAAAGATACTTAAGACATTACACATAAGGTAAAACAAATCACGTGACAATATAATGATAATAACGGTAATAAATCCTAGCTTAACAGTTGAAGAGAACGCTCATATAGTCAGTCGGGTCACGCCGAGGGTCACGTACTCTGTCCCAAAATGGCCGTGTGGTTGAAACTGGGTCATGGCGTGACGGGTGAGGAAGACATCATTAAACACTCAAAATCACAATAAAACGGGGAAGTGGTTGCATATTACGGCGTAGCTAACATGGGAAATAAAAAAACGCCCAATACAAACGACATGGGTTCGAATCACACTAGATACACACTCACCAGAACCGAAGCAATCAGAAACCAGCAATCGTTTTGGCTTTTCCGTTCAACTCATCGGAACACTAGAGTAGTTAGAAAAATGAACACCACTTAACGACCAACGTCGTGGCGTGGTACACAAGCGTGCC